GTTAGATGTGTTTCCTGAAGATAGCTGTAGATGGCTTGTGCTTTTTATCCAGTCGGTCAGCCTGTGCCTCTTCAGTGGGGAATTCAAGCTATTCACATTTATTGAGAGAATTGATGAGTATGGTGGAATTCTGTTCATCTTACTTTGTGAAAGTCCATTGCTTAGTTTTATCTTCTGTGTTAACATAGAAACCAGGTTTTGTCCTTTCATTGCTGATCTATGTTGATGGTCAGTGTGGAGAATATGTCCAAGTATTTCCTGAAGAACTGGTCTTGTTGTGGTGAATTACCTCAGTATTTACTAATAAGTAAATTTTTGATATCTCTGCTGAGATTAAAGGTTAGTTTATCAGGATACAGAATCCTGGTATAAAAATCGTTTTGTTTAAGAAGTTTATAGGTAGGTGGCCATTCTCTTCTGGCTTGAAAAGTTTCAGCTAAAAAGTGCATTGCCACTGTGATGGGTTCTGCCCCATAGGCTAACTGGCACTTACTCCTGGTTTGCTTGCCACCGTGATGGGTTCTGCCCCATAGGCTAACTGGCGCTTACTCCTGGTTTGCTTGCCACCGTGATGGGTTCTGCCCCATAGGCTAACTGGCGCTTACTCCTGGCTTGCTTGCATTTTTTTTCTTTCCTCTTGACCTTCAACAGTTCATTACACTGTGAGTAGGAGATGCAGTGTTGTGACAAGCCGGGGTTCAATATCCGTCTAAAAGGAGTGTGTCAGAATCTTTGGTGATGCTTTAAAATGTTCCTTTACGGTCTCCTCCAGTAGGGCTTCAGTTCCTGTGGGTTATTCTTTCTCCCTTGAGGATACCTATAATTTGTATGTTTGAATGATTCATGAAGTCGCATGATTCTCTGAGAGATGGCTCTGCTTTTGCTGTCTTCTTTTCTGCCTCTTTAAATGCCTGAGTTACCTTATCCTCTAGCTCTGAGATTCTTTCTTCTCCATTGCCTGGTCTGTTTTTTATTCTTTCTACTGAATCTTTAAGTTCCCTGAGTGACTCCGTTCACTCTTTAAGCTCTGATATATGTCTAATTTCATGATGTCTCATGACATCAATAAATGGGTCAATTTCTAGATTTCTTTTTCAGAGTTTTCCACTTGTCTTTCAATGACCTTGATTGACTTTCCCATCCCTCCTCTAAATTCCCTTTCTATCATTTGCATAATTTCTTTATAGGTGAGATCCTTTCTATGGCAGCTGCCTCATGATCCCTTGTGGAGAGTGAAACTCTTCTAGTTTTTCATGTTACCAGAATTTCTGCTCCTCCTTATGTGTGTTTTCTTCTTGTTCTTTTCTTACCCTGTTTTTCCTCTTTCTTCCTCCTTCTCCTTAAATTTCCTTGTCTCTGTGCTTGGCTGTTGGAGTGACCTCCTCCCAGGCTCCTAGAAACTACCACTGTCTCACTGTGCCTCCGTAACGATGCTTCTGGGTGGGACAATCCAGCCAGCGGTGGCTGGAATCCACTCTCCCTGATTTCACCAACAGAAGCCAGTGCTGATATGTGTCTGGTCCTCAATCTTGCCTCCTTTCACCCAATCAATATCCTCCTTATGATTTTAAGTTTTTTCTAAATGAATTTTTGTATTTTATTACTGTTGAATTTTGACAAACCACATATCTGAATAAATCAAGAGTGTAGAATGTACAGTGGTCTTTCAAAATTTCAGGAGGCAAAAACACTCAACATTAGGAATTAAACTAAAAAAGACAATAAGAGGTTAATTACACAAATTGTACATACCTAAATTTGGCAACTAGAGATGATGTGGGCACTTCCTTAAAAAGTAGTGATGCTGGCATGGATGCCGAGAGAAAGAGATGCTTATACACTATTGATGGGACTGCAGGTCAGTTCAACCCCTATGGAATACAATATGGAAATACCTCTGAGAACTAAAAGGAGACCTAACATTCAATTCAGAAACGCCACTACCAGGTATCTGTCTTTTATAAGGCTACATGAACAAACAAGTGCCCGTCAACTCATGAGTGGATTAATAAAATGTGACAGGATGGAGTAATGCCTTTTGTAGCAATTTGGAAGAAACGGGAGATGATTATCCTAAATGAGGTACCTCTAGACTGGAAAAAGAAATATCACATGTACTACGTCATATGTTGTAACTTACTGATGGGCACACAGGTACATAGAGGAAGGAAGAAGACAGAAATCAAGTGAGGGGAGAAGACAGAGGGGAAGGGGAAATGCCCACCTAAGTGCACGATAACCACTATTTGAGGGATGGCCACTCTTCTATCCCTGACACGAATCAGGCATGAGAAACATCTGTATCCCCTTAATATTTTGAATAATAATAATAAAGAAAATACCAAGGAATCTAAAAAAACTCATAGAGCTAATATATGAGATCGAGTGTACCAGATAAACAATGAACATAGAAAAATCAATAAAAAGTTAAGTTCATGACTTCCATGGTGATTTTTCTTATTTCTTGCCTTCTGTTTGCTTTAGGTTGATTTTGTTCATTTGTTCTTTTTTTCTAGGTTCTTTGGGTAGAACCTAAGAAGTTTTCTTTTTTTTAATGTATGTTTTTCATGCATCTAATTACCCTCTCCACACTTCTTAGCTGAGTCTTCAAAATTGTAATAGGTTGTGTTTTCATTTTCATTCAATTTATGCACATTTTTATTACCCTCAAGACTCCCTTTTGGATACATGGATTATTTACAGCTGGGCTGATTTGTTTTCAAATAATTGGACATTTTCATATTAATTTCCTCCTATTGATTTCTAGTTTGATTCCATTGTGGTCAGAAAATATACTCTGCGTGATTTCAATTCTTTTAAATGTTGAGGGTTGTTTTCTGTTATAGGATATAGAATGTCTTGATATGTGTTTTGTGGCACTTGAAAAAATGTTTATTCAGCTCCTGGTGAGTGGAGTATCATAAATATTGACCAAACCCTACTGCCTGACGGTGAGTGTGAGCTCCATATTCTTGCTGGTTTTCAGTTACAGGGGGATCTAACTCAGTTTCCTTAGCAGAAGCAACCTGAGTTCTGAGTTCTTTCTTATGTTGCATCAGATAACAGTTGAACAACACAGCCAAATATCCCCCGGCACACGACAAAGAGCGGTTTCCTTCCTTACTTTTCAGCCATTTAGTTCTTCATGGGGATGGACTACCTGGGAGTTGTTTGGCTTGACATCCAAGGGAAGAATGCCACTTTGAGGGGATCAAACGACATAAAAGGGTAGAGAGCAGATAGGGTAGTTCATGGAGCTGAGTGTAATTTGGGGAAAGGTGAGCATCCTCGCAGAGCTGTGCATTGTACCAGAGAGACAAGGGGATGAGCTGAAAGGCAGGGATGAAAGAGGAGACGCCCCAGGAAGGGGAGAAAGGACAAGCCAGCCTCCGCACCTCAGGAGCGTGTGGGTTTTATGACACAAAAATACAAGCTCTTTACTGGAATTTGAGGCTTCTAGGGCCTCTTATTTTGGGAGTCCTATCATAAATCCAGAGCAATCTCAGTATTCATTTGCCCTCTCGACAGCTTGAGACCTCTTGCCCCCGTTCTTTGCTATGTTAGCCTTACTTTCCCCAACGGACTGTTCTGAATCCACATGGAAAACACTGCCTCACAGATACAATGGAATTAGCCAGCGAGATGGTGTTGTGATGCGTCTTGTTGGTGCTCACTGCTATTTATACACACGCACACACAGGTGCATGCACACTCACATACACACATACACACTTTGTTCATATATAGATTGATTACAAAGTGAGTTTAAAGTTGACTTACAGGAAATTGTGGTTTGTTGGCAGACTACGGCCATCTAAAACCAATGAATTAGTAATAGTTTTTTAGATAAAATGAAATGTAGAGGGCGGTGCCTGTGGCTCAAAGGAGTAGGGCTCCGGCCCCGTATGCCAGAGGTGGTGGGTTCAAACCCAGCCCTGGCCAAAAACTGCAAAAAAAAAAAAAAAAAAAAAAGAAAAGAAAAAAAGAAAAGAAATGTAGAAAAACTTAAGCTGTTTAACACACACTATTTGTACTAAAAACATAATAAAAGTAATGATAACACTCAGAGAATTATTCTGTTACTTAAATATAACTTTGTTTTTGCTTTTTAGCTACTTGGTTCTGTCATTTTATTAATCTATTAGTGTTTCATTAACTGGGCATAGTAAGCCACATTGATTAGGTCCCACACATTGATCTGCAGCCCTTAGCGGTTACGGTGATGTTTAATGCCGCCCAGTAACGTCCATTCAATTGATTCTTTGGCATTATAGCTTGTGCTCATGCTACGTGAAGCCACATACTTGTAAACAAACCTATTCACCTTGGAAAAATGGGTTCAAATGTGAGTTGATGGAGCTTCTCTTTGACTTTTGGAAATGCTATTATTTTTTATGGTATTGTGCCTATCACTGTGTTAGCTCATGCATTCAGAGTTTTGATTTTATCTTCATTAAAAGTTTTACAAATATCCCCACATAAGGACAGGGGGAAAACATTTCTTAGGTTCCAAAAACTTTGTCTTGAAAACAAACATCAAGATCAATTCATCAGTCACTGCTACAGTTCTTTTAGGGTTGATATCATCAATAAGCACCATTTGATATGAGATCTGACAATCCCCTACCTAATAACTTAGAAGGAAATGGAATAAATTCCAAAGCAGAGGCAAAATCACACTGTTTTGTGTAGTATGAATAAGAATGACTTTGAAAGGCTGTATTCTTCCTCCATATGCTTAGTTTAAGACAATGACGTGTTGGATAATTCCTGTAGGACGGAATTTCCTCAAATGTTATTTAAATGAACAAACTCTGATCCTTGAAAAAGCTTAATTTCATTTACATACCAAAGCACAATGTATGACTATACTCAGTAAAATTGTTATTGGCATACCAGAAATAAATATGCCATACTTAAAGGGATTGTTCAATGATTCTATCAAATAAGCTTAACAAATTCATGCTGTTTAACTCTGTTCGTATCTTTTTCAAATTTAGGCTATCGGGATTTCAGCTGCCTTCCTCGATAGTGAGCACAGGATCTATCCTCACTCTGTGGTTCACGACAGACTTCGCTGTGAGCGCCCAAGGTTTTAAAGCACTCTATGAAGGTAGGAGATTGCCTGCATTGTTGACACGTATTCACTGCCCAGTGGCCTCACGTCTGCTGCGTTGGATTAAGATGCAGTGCCGTGTCCGAGGTGGTTTCATGGTGCTGGCATGCGGCCTTTGTGTACTATGTTGAAAATTGGATAATACTATTTCTTGAAATCACAGAATTTTCCAGCACAAAACACATTGATAGTTTTCTTTTATTTGGTTAGAGCTTTCTTGGTTGGAATTTCTTTGTGTGAACTTGCAGTGGAGACGTTTTGAAAACTTTGATTACAAACTAGTAGCTTTCTTAGGTGGTGAATTCATTTTTAATGTAGAAGAGTTTTATTAAAATTTTTGTTGGGCAATAATACTGCTCGTCAGTGCTTACATAAAAGAAATTTCATTACTTGAGGTTTTGTTGTCAAAGCTGAAAACTTTAATTAATTGAGAAGATTAATTTGCTTTAACTGTTGTTTGATCATGTGAGGTGCAGGGATTCTCTGTTATGTGTTTCCACATCTTCAGATTTTGTGTGTAGATTACCTTTGGGGTATTACTATCATTATTAAGCCGCTTGTTGGCAGAATTTTAAAGAATAAAACAGACAAAACTTTGGTAGAGGAAATGATCTTCTCAAGCACTAGATGTTAAGAAATTGAATGTTAATACTTTAGATGCTTTGGTGTGTTTAATTTATTCTTGATTCACAAAGAGATTTTAAATTATCTTTCCCATATAATGCAAGAGCTATTGTATTTAACACAAATAAACTCTGGTCCCTGTGAATTAAAATAAAATAAAAATCTTATGACTATAGATACAGACCACCTCTCATTTACACAAATAAACTTTTGTACCTGTAGATTAAAATGAAATAAAAATCTCATGGCCATAGAAGCAGACCACCTCCCTTTTATAGAATGACTTTGCAAACTTTGGTCCTCATACCCACTTAAGTCATATGTACATACTCTCATTGGAAAACTCAGTGCATTGGGGCAAAACTTGTTTTTTTTTTTTTTTTTTTTTTTTGTAGGAAGTTAACATGTGCATGTGGTTAGTGCAACTAAATTTAGTAGTAATAATCAGAAAATAAGAGTAGACCAATCTCTTTTTACAGATGTATAAACAGTTTGATTTACGCTTTTAAAGTTATGAGTGGAATGATGCAAGGATTGTAAACTGCTTTGACCCTTTCAGGATACTGCATGGGTACATAGTTAAATGAAGTTAAAGTATATTACTGACAATTAAGGAATATTTAAATCTTTGGAAAGTAGCAGGTTAATTTAAGATCGAAAGGTGCCATGGGCTTTCAAAATTGACTATACTTGGGCAGCGTCTGTGGCTGAAAGGAGTAGGGCGCTGGCCCCATATACCAGACAAGATGGGTTCAAACCCAGCCCCAGCCAAAAACTGCAAAAAAAAAGAATTGACTATACTTATATACTATATTCTCTGATAAACCCTCAATTCACATAATTTATTTTGGCATAACAGTACAAAAGTTTCTCTAAAGCCATCCAAACTAGCTGCTTGTGGAGCATGCTTTGTTCAAAACACATGTAGGATACTTTCTTAGAAGACGGATAATGCTTTTACATTTTAGAAACTCAGCAATGTTATTGCCCTTTCTGACAAACTGATAGCCGAATACCACATTTTTCTGGATTCTCTGAGATTCATGTTATAGAAACTGTGGCCATTAGTGATTGCTAAGTGAATAATTCTATCAAAACTTTCTGGGCTATTGTTGGTTTTACTAGTTATCATGATGATATAATTAAAAATATGGGTGAAATTTTCCCTGTTAGAAAAATATTTTGGTGTTATTCATAAGACCAGCTGGGAAAATGACTAGAAAAATGAATAGGGCCATAAGTTAAGTTAAATGTGTTTTTGTTTTTTTTTTAAATGGATATGCGGATAAGCTTTTTGTGAAATTTAGATGTTAAGTGGTGATATTATAATATAGTTTGATATTTACAAATAAATATCAGCCTTTATTTTGAAAAAGGATAAAAACTCAATAAATAGCTGTCTTGTTAAAATTTCACCCAATATTTAATATCTATATTTTAAAAGTGTTTTTTAATTAGTTTATTGGTCTCCTGGGAGCATGAATGTATATATATCTAGAGAAAAAAACTAAAGTCTAACTGGGAGATTAAAAATTAGAAAACTTATCTGTAGGAGAGTAAAGATGTTATCACAAACACTAGTTACTTCATCTACAGTCCTCCTGATTCTCATTGTGAATTTAGATACCTGTAACTTACCATGGCAATGTCGGGGGTAGAGTGAGATTTTATTAAAATAGCACACAAAATATGCCAATACAAGCAGAGCCAACAATATTGGTCAGAAAAGTATCTAAAGTATTTTGGAATCAGAACACTCTGCTTTGGGTGATTCACATTTCCTTCCTTACCATTATTTTTTATTTTGAAGAGAGTGTTCATAATTTATATAATTTTTAATATATATAATTATTATAAAAATTATATTATAAGTAATTATAAAATTATTATGTAATATTATAAAATTATATTATAAAATAATTATATTATTACATTGTTTTAAATATAATTCTTATAAACATAATTTATATGAACAAAATAATAAAATGAAATGTTGATGTATTATCTACGATCTCTAAAGGAAATTGGACACTAAATCAGATTTTTTTTTTTTTTTTTTTGCAGTTTTTGGCTGGGGCCCCGTTTGAACCCGCCACCTCCGGCATATGGGGCCAGCACCCAACTCCTTTGAGACACAGGCGCTGCCCCTAAATCAGTTTTTTAAAAATAATTTTCTGTAGCTTTTACAGTGGTAGTTTCTTTCAATTAGTATTGAGATATATTTAATAGAGCCAGATTTTTATTTAGTTTTTTAATTTAATTTCTCATTGAATTTTTAATTTAATTTAAATTACCTTGAATTCACAAACTCTTCCAAAATTCTAAGATCTATCTACAAATGACAACCCCACTGACAAACATCATCTGGGCACTGAACTCCAGTGTCTTCAGTCTCTACTTTCGAATAGGTATGATTTACATAAATTATTATTCATGCGAGGAAATATTAAATTTCATAATGAGTATGGAAACAGTAAATTAAATATTCTCATTAATAGAATTAGAATTGACTTCACTCATTGACTTTACCTCTAGAAATGAAATGGAAATATTTATAAATTCTACAATAGTGCTGACCCTAGACAGTATTTAACTTTCTGAGCATGGACCTTAGCAAGTCTTAGCAAGTAATTTTATAGGTGGCTGGTAAAAAAATCAACACATTTTAACTGGAAATACAGAATTAAAATTGAAATTACTAACTTCCTAGAGTGATCTTATAATATTTTATTTGCTATCCCATCCTTAAGCATTATTCTTGATTGTGACCGAAGGAATGTGCATGTGTATTTGATAAATTGGTAACAACATATTAGGGTTACACACAATTAAAATTTAGATAAGTTATTATCAAAATTCCTATTAATGCCCAGTTTTGAAATACCATGTCTACAAATCCTACTTATTCATGTATTATTATTTGCCTGTCCTCTTTCATCAAAATCTCAGTTATTTAAACAGAATAGATAATTTTTCTTATTAACCTTATCTGAGTTCTAAGAAAAAACGTGATCAAGGAGGTCAGACAATTGTCAGACATGAAGACACAATGAATACAGAACTCAGGACAGTCGGGAGAATGCACAGGCCCAATATATGAGACGTGCGAAACTTAGGCTCCAGTGAACCTCTGGCGACGATGATTTTTCTATTTATTTGCATATTAAAAGGAAATGCTTCTATTTTCTAATACTTTTTCTTCTGTGACGAAGTAAACTAAATGTTAGAAACAGTCATAAGTATATTATAAAAACTCTTGGAGTCAAAATATTAGTTATTTTGTTCACGAAGTCTTCATATTTGTTTTTATGAAATTTTTATTAATGCATACTTAATTATTCTGAATATCATTTCAAATATTTCATAAGCTATTTAGTACATTTTCCATACATTGACATTAATAATTTAAATCTTTGTTATATTTTTAAAATTTCATTTTCATGAAGTACTATCCCATAATTAGAGTCAGTTTTTGGCATTTTAAATGAAATGAGTTTTCTATGAAATTTTTTTTTATATGATCTGGTATGTGGTGAAAATAAAATATTTGGTTTTAATACAACTTATGTTTGACCTGAAAGCACCAACTCTGTGAATGAAATAGAATCTAGGACTAATTCACTGGAATCAATACTTGCCTAGTATAGAACACGTCTCGATATTGTAGGGCAATCCCATAGATTGTGAATCAATTCATTTTGAACAGATGACAATGGCAGGTCATGAAATAAATCTTGATGATAATAATACATATTTTTGTATAGATATTTATAGTTGAGATAACAAATTTGGGAAGGAAGAAGAAAGATTTAATGTAATTTTTGGTTAAAACAGAGCTGATAAGAAATGGGGAGAATCATTTCTCATTAAGATACCATTAAATATATGGCTCATGTAGTATCTGTAAAAGAGAAGACTCTTAAATACAAAAATACATCAAATAGGTTAATCGTAAATAATAATTTTACACATTCAGCATTTAATTCAACTTCCTAAGGTACTATCTTTACATATATTGACTTTACATTTTATTCATTAAATCTATAATAACACGAGGTGTCAAAATCTATTTAACAAATAGATGCTGGAGGTATAGTGAGATGTAATTCAACATCAGTAAATAACAAAATTTTACTTGTGGTAGGAAATACTTTTCATGTAAAATAAATATTTCATTTGCTGGATTGGGTAAAGCGATTACTCATGAAGACGGCAAAAGGGGCTTTCTTGGATTCTAAAAGAATTCTTCTCTTTTCCTGTTTGTTTTTGCCTTAAAATCATTAATTCTATCATATAATATTATGTATCTCCTAAGCAAAGTATATGTATCTGGATGGACAGGCGAATGGACGATGGTGGGAGGGAGACTGGGC